TCTTTTATCAAATATGAGTTAGGAAAAAGTAGATTAAGTATGAAATATAGTCCTCGTGAGAACAATAATTCAGACTCAAGGTCCACTATATTACTTGTTACGATATCGTACACTTGCGATATAAAAAAAACGCAACACAAGCCAAATGAATCTTCCGAATCCTTGATGACCTTAATAGCTATCTACCAAGAAAATACTGGAAAATCTCATCAATTAAGTCTCCAATGCTATTTTTTGTGTCAAACCGAGGTAGGTTGACTTGTTTGATTTGATTAATTAGCCACAAATTTCTGGTGTCATGAGCAACTTGACTTTTTGCTTGTTAAAGAAAGAATAGAAAGGAAGTATTCCATTTTGGGTTATTGGTTTGCTTCCACATGATGATAAAAAGTTCAGCATCTGATTGTCCGTATTGGTAGGAACTTAGGTAGGATTTTGGTTCTCTGTAACAGTAATATCCTTTCGGAAAGGGTGCGTTATTAAAGTAGTGAAAAGGACCAAAAGAACCGAAGGCCACCTTTCATGACTTGAGTTTTACCTAAAGTAAATTTTTTTGTTTATTTTGAAAATTCACTAAAACTAGCGATTCGATATCTATGCATTGTGCAGAAGGAAAGATTAACATAACCTACTCTAGAAGCTAAGCGAGAAAAATGAGATGAAAAGACAGATTTCCGCAAAGATTTGTCTATCTCTGCTTTTATGAGCAATTGACGAGAAAAAATCGTAGCAAAAACTTTCAGCTCTTTAAATACAACATTAAGAGCATTCAAGTGATAAAAAATAGCATAAACGAAAATTAAGAAAAAAATACTTGACAATTACATCTTGTGCAGTAAAGGCATGTCTTGTACCTTGACAGATCGCCAGTGAGAGTTTGGCCAACGAACAGGATCTAGGTCACCAATGCCAGTAATTGTGCCCATGTATCTGGACATGCAATCATCCAAGCATAAGAAGATCAAAGGTCCAGAAAAAGAAAAAGCCATGCAAATACTTTATAGGCCAATTTCTACCATATACCAGTTTCAGTGATCTAACTACGACTTTTCACTATCTACCACAGAACAGATTATTTATAATTTCAACATGCAACAGAATCCATAAACAAATTAGTGGTGTTCCTCCACACGCAATGGATATCACTGCAGTAATTTTGGTACGCAACAGGAGAACCATTTCTCCCTTCAAAATCTTAGTTAGAAATTAGAATGTTGTAAGCAGTGATGAATAAGGCAAGTTAATTTTCGTGAAGCATTAACATAATGCAACAAAACTATCAATACAGGACAGTTTGTTGTCTTCATATCCAAAGATGATAATAAATCTCTATTCTTCACCTCCAAGATGATATGCAGTTACTTACCAAATATTCAAGATGATTGATCATCATAATAGAAGAAAAACAACGATGTATGGCATACTGAAGATTCAAGTATTATTGTACCTGCGAACACTTGATTCTTCAGTTTCAAATAGCATCCGAAAACGCATTCCAATAGAAACACGTGTATGATAAGCAGCTTTGACATACTTTGAAAGTGGTATAACGAATTCAGATGGACTAGCCCTGATGTAACGAGAATGTCAATGGAAAAAAAAAAGGGAAATATATAGAGTATTATGTTATAATTTATCCATAACCACCTTGGGTTATAAAATATAGTGAAGCAGCTATTAGTAGAAGCAGCATGAGCAGCAGCAGCAAGCAGTCCAATGTGCATACTGTCACTTGAAAGAACAGACGATGGCATCACAGTTTGTGGTCGAGTGGCACGGCGAATTCCCAAAAGGAGCTGATTTTTCTCATTCCTGAAAAAGAATTAATGACATCTTGAATTAAACATCTGTCATTAAGACTTTAAGTGAGAAAAAAGAATTTGGCATTGGAAATGCAAAATGGTAAGAGTTACCAGATAAAAAGAACAGAATCTCCTGCAACAAGTCTTTTGGCACTGACAAACACACTCCAGCCAGTAGTAAGCAAATGCCTCTTAGGCTGGCCTGAATAAAAGAATAAAGAAAATGCAATAAAAAACACAAATATAGAGAGAGAAGGGCACACATAACATTAACTACAGAGTTAGGTTCCAAATGAGATACCATTAACCACAGTAGCTAAATTTGTGAAACAGTTTGAATGTTATAAGTTGTTTTACCCCCAATACACGGTGAAGTTTCCTAGAATCATAAACAATCCAGTATTTCGGATGAGATGATATGAAAGAATCAGCATGGGTGTGCTCATAAATGATTGTTTCCATTTCCTTGCTCTGTTACAGTAAAGAGGCATTGCAGAACTCTATTCTGCATTCCCAACCCCAACTTCTGGCAGATTGTAATTCTTCGTAACCTCTGGTGTCCCTTTGCAATGCATTAAGATATTTAAGGACACTATATCACTTTGTCTTCAAGGAAATAGATCAATGCTGAAATGGCTCAATTCTTTTTCATATACTGTAAATACTGTTGATGGAGATTTCAATAAAAAGCTAATTGAAGATTTAGCAGGATTTCACATAAATTTAGGAAAAGAGATTTTGAGCATGTTTGGCCACGAAGGTGCTATCTTATAAGCACTAGGGCCCATAAAAATGTGTGGACAAAGATGAGCCAATAGTGGGACCTATACCTAATAAGCAAATAAGTAAGGATTATGATGCTTATTTGGCTTATCTTTTAACCACACACTTTGTGGACCCTCGTACTTAAAGAGGGGGAGATATTTTAAAATTAAGCATTCAATTACACCCCTCCCCCAGCCCCTAATTGGGTTTAGGTGGAGGCATAAAAATCCCAATTAGCTTGTAAGGTTAAAAAAATAAATAAATAAGCATTCAATTTAGGCAAAAGTTAAGTACACTATTTCTCACTTTTCCCCTTAAATAAACATTTATCGATTGATTTATTTTGATCTTTCATAAATACACAAGCATAGCTTGTTAATGTCGAGTTACTGACGGCTGCCCACGATAATCTACAATGCTGCTAAGCTTTTTGTAGTGTAGTAGATGCTCATAATATAGAAGTGAATGTTTGTGACGTGCCTATCTTGACTATTTCAATTAAGTAAATATGTATTACTAATTCAACTATAATTCAAAAAAGAAAAAAAAAATTATATATATATACATATATATATATATACACACACACACACACACATATATATATATATATAATTGGTTGCACAAATTTAAAACTACAAGACAATTTTTTAGAACTAACCCCGGAAAATATGCCTAAACTTCCATTCAACATCATGAAGATCCCTCGCAATGAGTTCTTGTGCAGGTGGTGTCTGCGTGAAATCCTGAGGCATCAAATGGACAGATTAGATAAGAATCACCACCGCATGAGGCAGAACGGTGATATCACGGGACTATCATTACCAAAGGAGGAAAAACTTTTTCTGCAGCACGACGGGGAACAGAGAAGCCTCCATGCGTGCTAGTATCACTCGCAGTCAGTGTCTTGCAAAAGTAATTCATTGGTTGCCTGCTAGGAGTTCCCAACTCCACGGGAAGATACGTATCTTTTTGTTCTTGCTGCAATTACGTCATGAAACATTAGTCCTAACCAATTTGCAATGATAAATAGAAGCAGGTTCAAAAGGCATCACAAAATCTTAGTCTAATTTGAGAGTACCAAAGTCAGGGGCTGCAGTGTCATCTGAGCATACACTTCATCCGTCTCAACATCTGCCTGAATTTTAACAAATAAACACAACTCTCTTATGTCTAAGAATTCTCCACAAGCAGTTCACAACAAGAATACAAGAATGACTAAAGTATAAAGTTGAAAACACACATGCATTGTAACATTGTGGAGTTGGCATAGCAGCTGGGGTGGCAAACTTGGGTAATTTGGTATGTGGGCGTCGACTTCTTTATTAGTAGTGGCAGCAACCTGGCCAACATTTTCGAATAGAATTCATTACATGCATAAGCAAAAAACCAGTGCTTAAATAAAATATTATCTAAATCAAACAGATGAAAGAAGAGATTAGTAAAAAAGACCTGCTCGCTGTGACCCTGAGGGAAGTAAACCACACGACTCCCAATTGTCGGCAGGGACACCAGAGGACCCGCACAGGCATGCCATAGCTCGGAATTTAAGCACTTTTTCTCCCCTTCCATAACCCACAGTCAACAAACAATTACCCATCAGTCACAATTTAACTTAATTATAATTGGATTCTCTTAAATTTGCAATAAAACTCAGATTGAGAATTTAAGCATCTAGTTGAAGAAAGAAAACAAGGAACAAAAGTAAACACAGAGGAGGCATAACAAGTACCTTCATGAACTTGCTGACCCATCCCTGATGGTGAAAGCTTCATATTTTATTCAGCTTTTCTCTTAAATATATGATCAATAATATAATAATACAACTAAAACTACAATTAGCAACACAATTATAAATACCGAAAACGCTAACCCTTACTTGCAATCCCAAAAATCTCAAACCCTAAATCCCAACTCATTTTCAGCTCCAGTTCTTCTCTCATCTTCCCCACCTTTTACTTCCCCAACTCAAATCTTCACATGCATTTCAATATCACTAACTATACAACAAACCCACCAAGAAAACTAAAACAAAAGCTCAGAAGAAACACCCAATTTCATCTAATAAACCCGAAATCCAAGAAAATCAACCCAACTCAAACAACTCCTCTTTCTTCAACAACAAACCCATAATTAATACTGACAAAAGAATCCCTTCTATTTTTTTCCCTGGGGTTTTTTGAGCTAGAGTCAGCTGAAGCTGAAAGTTTCAAACTTTTTCTTCACCAATCACTATCTATCAACTTTTTTCACAAGAAACAGAGTGAATTTCTTCTCTTTTATAGTCCACCCGACCAAGCTCGACCTGATAGCAGTCACTCCAGCAGAGACAGATATATGAGCGTGTATCTGATAGTGTATTGCTGATCATATGGCTCTCTCTCTCTCTCTCTCTCTCTCGTGATCTGGGAAAAGTGAATTACAGCCGTTGATCAAACCATATGGAGGAATCTTGACCATTTATAGGAAAATGACTTGACAGGGAGCATGTGCCACATCTTTCAGTTGTCGTTATCAGAATACGGATCATCAAAATGTAATACTATACCCCTTCCATAAAAATAAATGAGTTCGACTGCGAATGTGAAATTCGTATAGAAAGAAAAATAATTTTAAATAACTCAATTGTTTAGAAATTATTTTTATGAAAAATATTAATTAAATATATTTGATTGATTTAATTTTTAATCTAAAATTATACTTGTCAATTTTTTATTTGTGGTAGATGACGGAGGAAAAGAGAGAGTGAATTACTCAAATAACCACGTCTACATAAAAT